AAGGTTTAATGGCCCGTATTTTGGCCATTTGGTTTTCGTCATTTGGCCAAGCACTTCAATTGAATAAGCGAGGCTTAGAACGGTGAAAATAGCCGGTTCGAAACGGGGGCTGGTTTCGTTGAGAGCTCTCTAATTGGGGCCTTCGAACGAGGGCTGATTATGCCTGTATTTGGATGCAAATGGCTTTAGCAAGTTGTATACATATATTGCCAACTATAAGTCCGGTACCTTCATCAGATGCAGCTGCACTGTTTCCAGGGTCCGAAGGCCAGTTGGCCAGTTGAACTTCGTCTACACTAATTTTCTGCTCGTAAAAGCCAATTTAATGGCGAAAAAAAAGAAAACAATATTTTTATTGTTCTCATCGGCGGGAAAAAATAAATATTCTGTGGTCTGTTCGTGGATAGATTCTGGCCATATAATTAAGCTGCCATTTGGGGCAAATATAATCCAGACTTCACCGGGTCCTCGAAACAAAGTCTGGGGAACAGAGTCCGGAGAGAGGTATTAAAAGTAATGCCAACATATTAACTGGAAATGTCGTATATTATGTGCCCAAATGACCTGTCAAAGATGAGAGTCAGAGATGCTCGAAAGCCCATTTCTCAAATATGGGAAATAATAAAAATGCAAACTACGCTCACCAGTTGGAGTGGAATGGATTGGAAGCCGGCAAATACGAGCGTGCAAGCCATTTGAAACGAAATCGAAAACAAAATCAGCAAAATGTATGAACCCACAAAAAATAAATATACCAAAAATACATTTTACAACTTTATTTTACGACCAGAGCAAAGTTTTTTGCCTTTTATTTTTTTTGCGCCAGGGGTTTTTCCAACGAATTGGCGGCTCTAAATGTTCTAGACAGACAAACAAAAGGGATAGCCACAGTCCCAGGACCTGGCCAAGACTGCTGCCTGTCTTGAGAGGTAAGAGCTCGAAATTAGCTCAGAGCATTAAATTAATTAACTCGATTTGAAGCCGAAGACGAAGCTGGAGCTGGAGCTAAAGCTTATCGATTTCTGGTATGTTGTCTTGGCTTGTTCAACACGCTACCATATCAGAAGTTGATTCACGTTTCGAGTTTTGGCATTTCAGGCTATGGGTTTAGGCCAAAGGTTTGTTGCATTACACTGTGTACTATATTATTTAATAATTTATCTTAAAAAGAGTTTAAACTGGCTCGAAGAGATGTTTAAAAAGCAGTTTATGATCCACAAGGAATTGATGAGCACGATGTGCCATATCATCTGGGCCATGTTTGCCATCAAAATTGATGACAAAATAATACCTTTAGGAGTGCTGGAGTCCTGAGGCCTCGAGTGCTGGGCCAAGTGCATAACCTCTGGTTTGGGCTTGGGTCTGGGTCTGGGAGGTGATTTAAACCGGCATGACTAATTCCGAAACCGGGCAGAGGCATAGGCAGTGGCAGAGCCAGTGTGGGCAGAAGGCAACAAGCAGGCAGGCAGAGCTAATGAGCGGTCCAACTTGTTTTCGGCGGTGGGACTAGCAAAATTTGCAACAACGTTGCAGTATGCCTGATGCCAGCGAGGAAAACCCGATCTTGGTTCCTGTTTGGAGGCACAGACAAGTTATGCAGCTCCGTGCCGGCGATGGAGATTACGAGTGAGTTTACACATTTTCAGACATCGGGGCCACAACCCAACTACTGTCCGTCTTGTTTGGGGAGGCCGGAGATGGGAGTTAGTAGTGGAGGAGTGGTGGTGGCCAATTGATTGACGAACTGCCAGCAGTTGACAGACATCGGTCGTATTGTCTACACTTATGCTAAACGATCGCCGTAATGTCGGATCCATGTCTGGCTGCCATTACCAGTAGATAATATGCATAAAGAAGTCATCGGCGAGTGGAAAATGCAACTGTGAAAAAGTTTCATGCCTGCTTAGCACTTTGATGAATGCTCATGTTGGATTGGTCTGACAGGCCAGCTTGTAATTGTCCGGAGTCCGCACTCCAATCCAAGATTATGCTGCATTTGTATGCCGGCAGTTGTGTGTCTGGATGCAATTAGGGGAACGTGGTCAGCCGAGCGTTGGATAGGCGCTCATTGCACCTGATTCGAAAGATTCCACACCCCTAACCCTAAACGCGATCCACTCGCTAATGAGTCTTTATATTAGGAACATTCAAATACCCCCATTTAGTGTTCTTGGGAACTACTTCTATATGATCATATATGCTAGCCAGACGCATTCAAGTGGCAATCGTAAAAGCTTACTATATAAAAATCATTATTCATGAAAACTTATTTCTCCTGACAGTGCATACGATAGACTCTGACAGCGTCAAAGTAATCTACTATTTATGGTGTGGTTAGATTAGTTAAAGTATTTGCAAAATGCATTTAAACATACAAAGATACTGTAAAGTTTACAAATTTTTAACCTTTGATATTTAAATAGTTTCTTGGCTAAGAAATGGCTTTAAAATGATTATAAATTCAAGATGTTTACGATACCTTTTACAAATTAAGATGTATATAAAATATCATCTTGTTTTCTTTATAAACTCATTAAGAAGCTGTTTATAAGACCATTTTCCCACACATTATTTATACCTAACCGCTTTCAGATCAGAGTGATCAAATCACACAAAAAAGGTAGGAAACGGCGCCGCCTTCAGGTGCCAACTGATGACAGCTTTGTGGATCTATGTTAATTGATTATTTCATGCGCCGTCTCCGATGCCACTTCTCCTTTGATTTTAAGTGATTTGTGACATGTGCCTGTGAAACATGGTTGCATGCCTTTCGGGCACACTCCTCACGCCTCTGATTCATACCGTAGGAATTTTCAATTCCATAGAATACCATAGAATAGTTATCTAAAAAAATACAATATTTTCAAAGAAAAGCCTTGAGACCCTTTAACATGACCCGAAATAATTAAACTCCCATAATAGTGTATAATCAACCTAATCAATGGGTAACTTTTGGTCGAAACCATCAGGTAATGCATTATGGCCGGCTCCTTTTGTTATTTACTAGCCTGGGCTCTCCTCTGGCCCGAATAACAACAACAGCTTGATGAGGCCTTCTGTCGGAGGCTTCTCTGGCCCAGATGCCTTTGGTAAACTAGTGTACGTGGTACGTGCCGAGACGACGCGTCGGTCTCTGGGAATATGGATGTGGATGTGGATGCGGCTGTGGATCTGTCCTCGTTGCTCCCAGCGGCGGCGGCATATTGTGGCCTATAATTAGGTGGCAATCATTTAGAGGCGCGAGATGTGGGGCCACTCCTTGCCAGACTCCTCTGGCAAGTTGTCGAGGGCAAGGATGGAAAAAACAGTGCAATTTTCCCTGGATTTTTCAATTTCAATTTTCCCTCTGCACTTTACTAAATGAGCCATAAATATTACTAGATACTTGCCAAGATCGCAGATTAAGCGATGAATAGTGTATTCATTCTACAATCTTGAAAGCAAACTAATAAAGCGACCCTTCATGTCAGACTGTCAAAGAATTTTAGCCTAATTGAATTAAATTCTTGTAGTTTCATTTTAGATTTATTGGAGAAAGTTGAAGAAGTATTGCTTTTTTCCATGCACAAATTTGACAAAATATCTAAAAATATTAAAGTAATTGATGGAAAATGGATTACTAAATCGTTTAAGGCATTCCGTTCAAGAATCGGATACGTTTTGACAAAGATATACCTTTCCCAATGGGCTATATTGTCCCTGCCATGCACTTTCCAAATTTTAAAGGGGATCCCCCAGAAAATTAGACAAAAAATCTCAAAAAAATTTTATTCTTGGTTTTTGATGCAGATTTGTAGAGAATAGACTTACAAATCGTTTAAGGTATTCCGTTCAAGAATCGGATACGTTTTGACAAAGATATACCTTTCCCAATGGGCCATATTGACCCTGCCATGCACTTTCCACATTTTGAAGGGGATCAGAAAATTAGACAAAAAATCTAAAAAAAATTTTGTTCTTGGTTTTTGATGCAGATTTGTAGAGAATTGACTTACAAATCGTTTAAGGTATTCCGCTCAAGAATCGGATACGTTTTGACAAAGATATACCTTTCCCAATGGGCCATATTGTCCCTGCCATGCACTTTCCACATTTTGAAGGGGATCCCCCACAAAATTTGACAAAAAATCTCAAAAAAATTTTGTTCTTGGTTTTTGATGCAGATTTGTAGAGAATTGACTTACAAATCGTTTAAGGTATTCCGCTCAAGAATCGGATACGTTTTGACAAAGATATACCTTTCCCAATGGGCCATATTGTCCCTGCCATGCACTTTCCACATTTTGAAGGGGATCAGAAAATTAGACAAAAAATCTAAAAAAAATTTTGTTCTTGGTTTTTGATGCAGATTTGTAGAGAATTGACTTACAAATCGTTTAAGGTATTCCGCTCAAGAATCGGATACGTTTTGACAAAGATATACCTTTCCCAATGGGCCATATTGTCCATGCCATGCACTTTCCACATTTTGAAGGGGATCCCCCAGAAAATTAGACAAAAAATCTAAAAAAAATTTTGTTCTTGGTTTTTGATCCAGATTTGTAGAGAATTGACTTACAAATCGTTTAAGGTATTCCGCTCAAGAATCGGATACGTTTTGACAAAGATATACCTTTCCCAATGGGCCATATTGTCCATGCCATGCACTTTGCACTTTTTCAAGGGGATCCCCCAGAAAATTAGACAAAAAATCTCAAAAAAATTTTGTTCTTGGTTTTTGATGCAGATTTGTAGAGAATTGACTTACAAATCGTTTAAGGTATTCCGCTCAAGAATCGGATACGTTTTGACAAAGATATACCTTTCCCAATGGGCCATATTGTCCATGCCATGCACTTTCCACATTTTGAAGGGGATCCCCCAGAAAATTAGACAAAAAATCTAAAAAAAATGTTGTTCTTGGTTTTTGATCCAGATTTGTAGAGAATTGATTTACAAATCGTTTAAGGTATTCCGCTCAAGAATGGGATACATATTGAAAAAGTTGAAAAGTAACTCACCTAATGGCACGTTGGCACCATTCTTCCGGTTGACGGAGACTGAGATCGGCAAAATGGCGGCGCCGGAAGTGGACGACGGTGAGGGTGACGAGGAGTCGCAGGAGCCCTCCAGCGACTGGGCGGGAGTTGGAACCGTGGTCATATGGTGGTCGGCGCTAGTGATCACTGAGGTCCCGCTGCTGCCAGCCCGGGGTCCTACTCCGTTGGTTCCTGCTCCAGATCCGGCCCCAGAGCCGCCAGATCCTCCTCCACCGTTACTGCTGGATCCGCTGCTGGATGTGGCAGCTGTACTGCTACTGGAGCTTGCCGCCCCTCCGGAGCTGCTGGTAGCTGGGCCGTGGTCGCTGTGTGGCGGCGATCGCAGGGCGCCCTGCTGCTGCTGCGGATGTTGGTGGTGCGGCGGCTGCTGGTGGTGGGGGTGATGCGAGTGGGGGTGGTGTTGGTGCTGTACTGAGGCCGCGGCCGCTGCGGCCATGTGGACGTGATGGGAGTGGGCGTGGCCGTGCAAGCTGGCTGCAGTGGCGGCCGAGTGGGATGGTGGTGCCGCCGCTGCGGCTGCCACTGCCGCTTGCTGGTGGTGCAGCAAGTGCCCGTGGTGCGAGTGGTGTCCGTGGGCGGCGTGATGGGCGCCATGCATGTGAGCATGGGCGTGGACGTGAGCGGGCGCGGCGGCGTGGTGGTGGTGGCTGAGCAGAGAGGAGGTGCCCGGTGTAGCCGGCGGCACCTCGTGCATGTGGAGCGCCCGCTGCTCGTCCTGGGCCTGGGCCCGTCTCAGGGCCGTCTGCAAAGCCATCACTCTTTGGCGGTCCGCCGTGAGCCTGCACTTCTCGCAGGTGCAGTAGCGGTATTTGCAGTACCGCTTGTGGCCCTTCAGGGTTATTTTCAAGCCGTGATTGCGGCAGCGAGCGCAGTTGGGCGGCGTCCGCGGTGATATGGAGCTGCCGCTGGAACTGGAGGCCCCTCCGCACACATCGTTCTTGGAATCAATCATGTCCGAGTCGGACATGGTGTCGCTGTTCCAGTTCTCCTCCGAAACCATGACTGTAGCTTCTTAGATCCTTTCGCTTTAAGAAATAGTTCGAGGGTTGCGTTAATATAGTCCTTTTCTGACTCGCCTAGACCAATTCTGGAAGCATTTTCTATTATAGATTCAATGATTTTTTAAATTTTTTCTTTGCGGGGTTCATATAATTTGAAACTATTAATATTTTTTGTATTTGGAAACATTAGGTAGATTAAGTTTTATTGAAAATTGTAATCTGATTATGCCTAAGTTTATTTATTTAACTTTTCAGTGTCTATCTAGTAATGAGGAGTAATAAGATTTTCGTTTCACTTTTCATTATTTTTTCTGTTTACCATAAATTTGTAAGCACCTGCAAAGATAAGAAATGGGAGAATTTTTGTTTATTACTTGGAATAATTTTGCGGCCACAATTAAATAGTGAAATGGGCTAAAATTTGTAAACAAATTTTCATATGCAGGCTGGGGCTTATTTCTGAACGAGTGCGCTTCGCGGCAGCTGATGTAATCCCGTGGAATTTATTTTATTTCCGCCCGCCATAAAATACTTAAAATTTACGTTTGAGAAAGTTTGTGTTTTTTTTTTGCATATTTTTTGCACGCTTGGTTAGTTCTGGCAAACAAATTGCTTTCGCATTTAATTTTAAATATTAAGCCGGCAAATGCCTTCCATATTTTTGCTAAAATTAGTTAAATGTGGGCAGGCGACCGGACTTCATTTCGATTGGCCGCGGACCATTGCATGTCATAAGGCAATAAAATCTATGAAGTATCATTTTGATACGATCGGCCACGCCTTATTTACATAAAAGCAGAGGGATTTGATTTGTTTCGTATGTCAGTTACAACCAGAAGGTGGAGCGGTACCCCCAGATACAATGTGAAGATAGAAGTAATGGATCTGCCATGGTCGTATATAATATTGTCCCATTAGCTTGCGCTCTTTGAACTGAGCAGCTATTATATTTTTAATTTATTTGGCAATCGTAAAAAAAGACTTTAAATTTGAATACAATATATTTTGGGGATCACTTTAATAGGCAAAGAAAATCATGAGTCTACATGGCGTATGCGCAATGGAATTAAAAGTATTCTTTAAATAGTTTTCAATACTACTTTGGTTTTATGACTTTTGTTGTTTATTAATTGATTTTTATTTCTCAAGATTATTTAAAAGCGATTATCCGCTTTAAGAATTCCAGTCTTTTGATTACCATAATCGTAGTTATTGAAGTGTCAACATTCACTGAATCAAAACTAGTTTACATCTCTAATAGATTTTCAAATAATAATTTCTTCACATCCATTTACCTATTATGTATAAGTTTTAAGATTCTTGCAGCTTTATAGATTATATATGATATTATATTATAATAATTTCAGAGTTAGCTTTCTAATAGGTCTTGGTTGAAAATATCTTGGTTTCCAGATATCTTGAAATGGGAGTTTAATAGTATAAGTAGTTAGGATTTCACTTGAAAACACTGAAATTCCACAATTCCAATTATACAGTTGCTCTTGGCTGTATCGATTAAAATATCAATTCAGAATTGTCACACAATAAACAAAAAATTCACACATTTAATTGAGAACGATCGCGAAAAGCCGCCGGTAAACGCGCGCTACCTGCCGCCTGTATGAGCAGGAACAGAATCGAATCGATAATGGTTGCAGTCTAGTTTGGCAAATAATTCCGCAACAATAGCACCGCGGAAATCAATATTAATAGGGCGGCCTTAGATCAGAAGTGTTCTGAATAGATGACTTCTCTCAAAATCGTTCCGCGGGTCGCGAGCCGAGCTTTTTTTGCTTCTGCTGCTGCTGCTGCTGCTTTCCGATCTGAAATCTTTGGCATGCACAAGGCAACTCACATTGGGCCGCAAGACGCGGATGCAAAGAACTCGGCAAAGCACACCGCACACAGCGTCGAGCGCCTGGCTGCGCTGGTATTGGTGCTGCTGCGCCTGTGTGCGTGTGTGCGAGCTGGTGTTTGTGAGCGAGTCTGATGTTTGGCTGTGTTTGTTCGCGTGGAAGTGGCACCGCCAACGAAACGGAACCGAAATCGCATTGAGAGAGCAAGAGCAGCTCTGGGCCAAACAATCACACTGATTCAAAAGTCCTTAAAATTATATATTTTTATATCTTTTATTTATTGAAATTTTAAATTAATCAACATTTAGTTTAGTTTAAGAAAAATATTAAGTTCAATTTTACAAATGGGACTAGAAAATTATGATATAAGGGAGCCTAGAAATAGTTCCATTTATAAATATGGGTAATGACTCTCTTAAATATGCAATACTTTTATCAAGGTTACCAGCAATTTATGGATAATATTTTATTAAATTAAATTCACCAATCTTTTCACTCTTCCTTAGTATTCAATTGAATTTAGAAAATTGTGGGAAAAAAACGTATCTTTAAGACACTGTGGCCCGTTGACGTTGCGTGCATTTGGAGAAATGGGGGGCTGCACACAGTTACACACACACACACCACAGCTAGCACTCTCGCAAAGGCGCACCGACAAACAGACACAGCCCTTGTACATAGCCAGCCTTACACACATTGGCTGGCTGCTCGGCATTGCTGTTGTTGTTGATGTTTTTGCTGCTTTTGTTGTTATCGCTTTCGTTGTGTTGGTTTTTGTCTTCTTGTGTTGGTAACTTGCAACTTGTTTGAGTTGCATTTCGACCTGCATTAAGTTGCAATGCTCCCACGTAGTTTTTTTCGCCGTTTGCTTTGTTTAATTTCATTTCCGCTTTGGGCTGCGAATTTTATTGGGTTTGTTTTGGTTATCCATTCGTTCCAAAGGGCGTATGAGTGATGTGCAGCTAGTGAGATAGCCCTGGGGTATTGTGGGCTATCAGAGGCTTGTGCAACTAGCTGAGGGGCTTTTATGCGTTATTATATGATGATAGCTGACATTAAAAATAATCAGAATCTTTTATATATATGACCCTGAAGTGATTAATATATTTATTTAGGAAATGTTTATTTTTAACTATAAGATTGGTAGCTCTTACAACCACATTTTAGACTCATTTTTGAATAGAAATTTCTAAGGCCTTTCCACTGTTTAAATAAATTTCTTTTATTTTTATTTCATAGACATTTCGTTGTGCAAGTTCAACTGCATTTAATTAGTTTCTCATCGACTCAAGGAAGAGAATTTCGTATTCATTGTCATAAATTGGACGATTACCCTTGCATGCAGGTGTGTTTAATTCGAGTTTAATCTAATTTGCAAATAGTGTGACATTAGGGTGATTCATTGTACTTGCTTATCTATTGACCAGGTTCCATGACCCATATATATATACGTATGTATGTTTATTTCATGTTTAGTATAAATTGTTTGTCACTGATAAGAAATGGCTGCTATTCTAATCGTGCAAAAAGACAAGGGGGCTCCTAACTAATGGTTAGGTACTCGGGCTGATTAGCAGAATGGCACGAAGTGTTTGTTTGCCTCAATTTTGGCCAACTGTAATGACTTAATTCTGGGTGTCTAAAGAGTTAATACCACACTCTGGCCAAGAGAGGTAATTGAGCATGAAAGATGAACTGATAGCGCGGGCTCGCATTCGTGTTCCGCCCCCTTTCTTCCACCGCCCCTGGGGCCACGGCCCATCGTTGTTACTTCTGCCTGGCTTGTTGTATTAAAAATTGCACACGATTGCTTATCTCGCATGTCGCGACTAATTTGTATTTGCCCAGAGATCGGGAGAACTGAAACTGCTGGAGGAGCCCCTTGAAGAGAAAGACACTCTGGGATCCCTAACAGCGGAATGCGAATACAATATTTTAGGTAATTATGTTATGGGAGCTTGGAAGAGAGGAAAATCCAAAGAGGAAGAGGGGAATCATGTCTGCCTAATTAATTTTTTATAAAAACGAGCACCCGGCTTAGGTTATTAATCGACCAAGGGAGAGTATCACTTTAAATGGCACGCCTATCTTAAGTCATTTATATGTTAATCGCGGAATGGTAAGCAAGGTGCAAAGTAGTGGACTTCTAGTCAACCGCTCGTTAGCTATCGTAAGTCTTAACTAAATCGACGTAAACCGGATGGAACTGAACTTTCAAATGGAATTATAATACGATTCTCTGCTTCATCTGGGTTTTGTCTCCATTTGCATTTTTCTTCGGAGTCACTGACTTCAAACCCGATTTCCTTATATGTATGCTTCTCCCCCACATTTGCCTAGGCCATCCTAATGCAGTTTTTTAAGCAAAGACTGGGTATTTTGTTGTTTATCTGCGAATGAGAATGCGACCGCGAAACACGACTTGCTGCTCTGGCTTAGCCGGCAACGTTTCCTGTTCAATTTTGGTAGCAGTCACCGGCAGGCAGACAATGGCCCGATCCCGATCCCCGCCTGAACTCAGAACTGCCCCATCTACTGCCATTGTAGATGGCAATCGCGAAGCGTACCTGCCGCTATCGCCATTAAGCCTTGTACACACGGGCATTTATGTCAGGCAATTACAAGGCAGTTTGCAACGCCCCCAAAGCGGGCAAGCCGGCAAGTGACGCGCAGGGGCTGGTCAGGGGGTATTAGGTGGCATGCCACTAACATGTGGTAGCAAAGCAGTCATAACTCATTGTTCACTTACCGCAGCAACAAAGCGAAATGCAGCCAGTCGTCAGACTATCTGCCGGTTTGCCACTAGTTGTATCTTTTGTTTATCCGGTATCTGCATCTATATTTGCGTTTATTTTTTTATATTTTTGTTTTTGCGCCTGCCAAGTGCCCGACTCTTGGTTATGCAAGCGAGATGAGATGTGAGAGAATCGGGAGACGATCTGTAAGAGCGTGATCGTTGGGAACTGAGACTGGGACTGCGACCGATACCGAGAGTGAGAGTTCTCAATGGAGAAGCAACCGGTGAAAATGATTAATTGTTATCTTAAGACTACAAATTCGTTTGGCATGGCACTAGTGGTTTTAATTTATTATCTTCTCCGGGACCCATCACACGCGTACTACACTCATTCTAGAATCTAGCGATATTTTCAGACTGGGTAGCACTACAAAAAAACTATCACATTTCGCTCCAGTTTTGATTCGGTTTTGGTGCGGGTTAAGATTGTGATTTCGAGCACGGATCGCGAAGCTCGCCTACCGAGCAGCGTGCACGAGCGCAAAGGACGATCGATGCCAACAAACTGGTTGCGGAGCACTGAAGCTCCAAGCTCTGAGCACCCGGACCAGTCCGCCAGCCGACC